TTGTATACTCTCGGAAGATAACAGCCTCTAGCGCAAGGTGCTATGTGACCCCGTCAAAGAATGTGTCTTTGCAGACACTGGCAGTGGACGCGGGCTCGTAGATGGGGGCACCGGACACTGGCAGACTGCAATGCACTGGCGCTCGACACGCAGGTAAGTTTTATAGCTCACACTCCCACTTGATCTCGGCGACGCACTTGGAAGTCGACGCGATCACACACGCGCATCCTAGTTGCCGCCATAGACCTAGTAGTAGCGTAGTCGCAGCTCAAAGACAATAGCAGTCCACTCAGTAACAGCACTCCCACTCGATCGCCCTCGTCTTCATCAATGTCGCTCAGGTACAGCCTCCGCATCAACAGCAGTAGTCAACGCAGTAGCAGTAGTCGTAGTTGTAGCCATGTCCTCGGATACGTTGTCGTCGCTCGACACAATAGGTAAGACTTTCATAGCCTTGCGAAAGTGTGTGAACTCCACCACTGCAAGTGCCTTTGTCATTATATCGGCCACCATATCATCAGTTCCGATGTGTTGGGTTGTAAGTTGCTTCAACTCCACATGGCGTCTGATCATGTGGTACTTGTTATCGATATGTTTCGATTTCGAATGTTTGCCAGGTTTCGCAGTTAAGGCAATGGCTCCTTGATTGTCTCCCAGTAGTTGAGGTACTGGATGCTTCCAGCTCAACTCCTTGCATAGGCCAGCAAGCCACAACAAGTCCTTGGCCGCCTCTGCCATTGCTACGTACTCAGCTTCACAGGCACTGAGCGCGTTGATCTCTTGCTTGCGAGATGCGTAGGAGATGACGTTGTCGTCCAGCATAGTGATGTAGCCACTGATACTCCGTCGATCCACAGATTTGTTCGCATAATCAGCATCAGAGTAGCCACTAACTTGCACATCAGTCTGTAGCTTCACATTCATCACTAGTCCGTAGTCACATGTAGCCTTCAGGTAACGCAGCACCCTCTTGGCTTGTGCGAAATGCATATGATCATAGCTCGCAAGATACTTGCCCAGGTGTCGGGTAGCATGAGCTATGTCAGGTCTCGATGCACTAACGAGGTACTGGAGAGCACCCACCAGTTCTCTGTAGGGAAGATACTCCTTCGAAGCAGGCACGTCTGTCTTCGAGGGCGTCGTAGCTTCTGGTGTAGCGCAGCCATTACAGTTCTCCATATGAAAACGCTTCAACACCTCCAGTACGTACTGCTTCTGGCAGTACACTATTTGCCGGCGCGGCCGGTCAATCAGGATCTCGACGCCTAAGAGATATTTGACTGTGCCCATCGTCGTGAGCTCATATGTCTCTTGCAGTGAGGCAGCGATTGTGGCACACAGGTCACGTGAACCCATCAGCAGTAGATCGTCCACGTATACAGTCAATAGCAACTTGACTTCACCATCCTTCCTCAATGCATATAGGCCGTAGTCAGAGTCCGTCCTAGTAAACCCCATCGCAACAAGCTTCGTATGAAGTGTGCGATTCCAAACGTTCGGTGCTTGCTTCAGTCCGTACAGGCTCTTCAACAATCTGCAAATGGACCCAGGTCCATCCACCTGGAAGCCAGGAGGCTGCTCCATGAAGATAGTCTCGTCCAAGTCTCCATACAGAAAAGCCGTCTTCACGTCAAATTGCAACACCTCCCAACCTCTTTGTACAGCGTAGTAGATAGCCGCACGTATGGTTTCGAACCGGATCACTTCACAGGCCCCCTCTTTATCCAAAAGAGCGAAGTGACCTAATTAAGGTAGAATGTAAACTGAGTGTATTTATAGGTAGATAAAGCTTGGGTTTAATACAAACTATAAGTCACCTATAGAAATGCAATGCGTTAACCAATGGTTGGCTCTGAACGACCTTGGTACTTTGTACCAAATATCCCGAAGTATGACGTGTCATACTCCTGAAGTGTGACGTGTCACACTTTATGTAACCAGGGTACACTTAGGGCTACGGACCCCGTTTCATCAAGAGCGCTAGCAAGCAATCTTTCCTCTTTCGAAATTAATGGCGTGGAAGGCGAAGTTATCGGAGTACTTTCTTTTTACCAAGTTTCTCCATCCGAAGCCATTGACATGGAAAATGTTAAAGTGAAAATCTCGTCCAAAGTAACGCTAAAACGCTCCGACTACAGTGACTGCCCCATGACAGATGACTCCACGAGCTCGAAAGCCGGAACCAGTGGTGGCGCCACCACGACGGTGATTACCGACACCACAGGAGCAACTGCACACTACGCGGCTTGGCAAGCTTATAAGCGACGAAGAATGAAGTTTTACTACACCTTTGCCAGTCCAAATCGGCGACAGTGTAAAGCAAAGCGGTGTTGTGACGGGGTCACACAGCACCTTGCGCTAGAGGAAGTTATCTTCCGAGAGTATACAACTCTCAGTGAACGGCAGTTCACAGGCCCCCTCTTTATTCAAAAGAGAGCGAAGTGACCTAATTAAGGTAGAATGTAAACTGAGTGTATTTATAGGTAGATAAAGCTTGGGTTTAATACAAACTTTAAGTCACCTATAGAAATGCAATGCGTTAACCAATGGTTGGCTTTGAACGACCTTGGTACTTTGTACCAAATATCCCGAAGTATGACGTGTCATACTCCTGAAGTATGACGTGTCACACTTTATGTAACCAGGGTACACTTAGGGCTACGGACCCCGTTTCATCAAGAGCGCTAGCAAGCAGTCTTTCCTCTTTCGAAATTAATGGCGTGGAAGGCGAAGTTATCGGGAGTACTTTCTTTTTACCAAGTGTCACCATCCGAAGCCATTGACATGGAAAATGTTAAAGTGAAAATCTCGTCCAAAGTAACGCTAAAACGCTCCGACTACAGTGACTGCCCCATGACAGATGACTCCACGAGCTCGAAAGCCGGAACCAGTGGTGGCGCCACCACGACGGTGATTACCGACACCACAGGAGCAACTGCACACTACGCGGCCTTGGCAAGCTTATAAGCGACGAAGATGAAAGTTTTACTACACCTTTTGCCAGTCCAAAATCCGCCGACAGTGTAAAGGATAGGGGGTGTTGTGACGGGGTCTCACCACCACCTTGCCCTAGAAGGAAGTTATCTTCCGAGAAGTATAACAACTCCTACGTGAAATGGAGGTTCACCAGGCCCCGCGCCTTTTATTTCAA